TTTTTCTTTTCACTTCCCTTATGTGCGCAATGAATTGTTGTGTGTGTAGTGGTTTGATGAATAACCTGTGAAAAGCTTGATGGGGAGTGACTTGTGCTGTCACGTATGCTAGGTGAATGAACATTTTATCGCTATTCATTCTCAAGCTGCTCGATAAGGGGTTGCCTCTCAGGTTTGAAGCGTACACCACTTCATGTACAATGGAATATGCTTTGTGTGTGTATGTGGTGTGTGAAGAACTGTCGACGCAGCTGATAAAGGTGAATTGTCAACTCACAGAAGATCGAAGGAGAATGATGACTGCGATCTGTCTACTTGATGGATTCCCATCCTAATCGGAGGTGTTTAGGAAGAGCCTTTTTAACATTGTAAGGTATAGTCATTCAGTCTGAATAAAGCGTTATGCTTGAAAGTCCACGGAGGACCCTGTTCGTCATCTTTGTGATAGTTGCTCTTGAGGGGTCGTCATAACGCGCTTAATGCATGTCCTGTCCCTCGTTCTTTATCATTAATTGTTTTATAATGTTTTTTAAAGTTGTAAGCGATTAAAACCATTTTTGATGCCTGGCAATTGCCTGAGTAATGTAATAGAGTGGGAGGTTCAATGATCATAGTGAGGGAGGAGACGTGGTGACTAGGTGCTGTGTTACGTTCTTCTGAAGGCAAAACGTAGAGGCGAAACTGGGATTCATACCATGCTTGCATATTTTTGAGAATGGCATGGACTGCGAATTACATTGTTGATTACGTCACCGACCAATGGGTCTTTGAAGAGCCTTTTCGCGGTTGCCTACTGTCCTTTGTTGTGAAAGTTGCGTGAAATTACATTAGTCGTGTGTTTTGAGATAGCTGAAATTAAGATTGCTTGTGTGGTTGATTCATTTGCGAGTAAAGGTTAAAACGAAGGCGTCCGTGGCAGCTTCATTGTTCAAGCATCTTTGAATTTCGGAGGCGTTAATTTTTTTGAATCTGATGGGGACGATGTCATACATGACCTGTGGAAATATCGCGCATCCAGTTGATTTCGATTCGGTTGTCCGATCCTTTGGAGGCACCAATGGGTTTAGCCCGCTTGTTGCATTCGTGACCGCAACCACTGACAGCCCGAGGCCTAATCACGCTGACGGTCTGTCTCTATTATCTTCCTGGCTGTCTCGCCTTGCCTGTTTTCGGCATCCTTTCATCTTCATAAACTATATCTGTACTGTTTAGAAGATTTCTGTGTGTTCGTATGAATGCATTTGTAGGAATAACTTTATATTACGTGCAAGACAAATCATCCGGATGAATAGAATGCAGCCTTAGCTGATTTGCTAGCTATAGTAATGAGGTGAGCCAGTTGCGAAATGAATGCATAACGGACGCATTAAAAGAGGCTCTCATACACGCACTACTTTAACTCTTTTTTCGTAATTCATCACAAATGAATTCAGGTCTTTCGACAGTAATTCGGGGGTACCTAAATGGAAAAATGTGCACGAACATACCATTTGATGATTTGGTGGAAGTAAATTCAACCACGCTAAATGGAGTAAAGGACATTAAATTACAGGTCTGGTTAGACCATGGTGTTGTTGCGACAATATTTGACAGGAGTGTAAGTGTATGCACAAACTCTTTTCCGCATAGTTCATTTGACAGAATTGAAATAGGCACGCAAGTGGAGAGTGAGGCGGAGAAGCGGACTTAACTATCGACTCTTTAGGCCTAACTGCTCAAATCACAACAACAGTCACAACATCAAGAATTCGGCATCCTTCTCATCCACGTATCTCCCTTCACGGTTCCTCAAGCAACATTCCCCATGATCCTGCCATCAGACAAGCCCGCGTGTGGTAGAAACAGAGGTGCTTAGGTAGTCTGCTTCTAGGGGCAAAAAGGAGGTAACATAAACTTGGAATTTTGTTGTTGCTCTGTGACTGGTTGGGGAAAGAGTGATTAATTGTAGGCGGCAATTGTCTTCAAGGGGTTCCCACAAACTAGCCGTCTGATGATCCGGAAGTAGATTCAGAGAACTGAAGAAGCGGCCTCTAGGGAGACACCTTCCATCTTCCAAGGCCTGTGTGTGTGTGTGTGTGTGTAGAATGGAAAACAGTGATTTGTCTACCGCCCTCCTCCTACTTCCATCCCCTTGCCCCTACTTAAATGTCATTCATCAAAAAGTCGGTAGAAGTCACTATCACTAATTCGGCGGTTGTTATGCCCAAATCTACCGCTTGGAGGCTAAGGGCGCATAGTCAAAGTGTTTGATTGTTAACAACTCGTCAAAAATTAAGCTCAGAGTTGTTCCATGGGATGGTAGAAAGTGTAAGGCGTCTATAAATAGCACATGATTACTGTAAAAGTACAGAAGGAGGGGGAGGAGGAGAAGGAGCTAAGAGGATCCCACAAACATTCGGCTTGATGGCGGATAAATGCTAATGCAGCGGATTCCCCCCTGAGGCTCATGGCCTTGGCACACTTCGCCTCGTTGGCACCCACACACACACACACACACACACACCCTGATCCAGGCCCCTGAATGATGACACTGTAATTGGTGGATCCATTGAACCCACCCTCGGGGATTGGAACAGCTTTGATGATGGGATGATGAGTTTGTACTTTTCAGTAGTATCAGTGGGACATCTTTTTCCTCTCCTTTGTCTTCTGTTGGGTACATGTTTTCAAGGTCAGGCAATGTTCTGCATCTCATTTTTATCTTATAAAAAAATTGACGAAAAGGGAGTTTTTTACTTACTTATCTTTACATTACTTTTTACACTATATACTACTTAAATCATATCATTTCACAAGTCGTTGCTGACAAGCGGTAGTGGATGGAGAGATCATCGTTTTCCAAGGAGAAGAGAGAAAACCAAGGTCCTTAAAAACCTTTAGTACTTTGAACACCCTATTTCTCTCTCCTTTTTACGAAATAACAAAAGATGCTTTCCTCTACCTTCTCCACAAACCACCTATTCTCCATCCAAGAGTCTGTAGGTGGAACTTTTTCCTCCTTCCTCTATCATTTTCTACTAAGGCATTAGATTACCCCACAGAGCCATTGCCATAAATTGATCTTTATTTATAAAATGGAAATTTGGAACAGTTGTCTTGTCACTTTAAGTGACACGACCTAAATCGGGCGCAGAGTCAGGTTTGACAGTGCAGTGCATTGGCTTGTCACATGGGGTATCTCTACACCGGAGGTGATTATTCTCTCCCCTCTATTTGATGGAAGAAGAAAGTTGAGGCAAACACAACGTGGATTGCTGCCTGACTCACTTCCATCAGGCCAGTGACAGGTTACACCAAGTCATTCGTCATCTTGGCACTGGCTCGCATACTACAGTCAGATGGAAGGGAAATTCGGACTAAAGCCAAATAATCCAACTTACCGTTACATTCAGCTCGTTCGACTTGACCCACATTTTATGAAACCTGGGGATTGATGGGTGGAAGGGTCATCATGCCCCCCTCTCCTTAGTTCCGCTTCTTTTCCACCAATAGGATTTCACTTTTTCAGCCAAGGGGGACACCACCACCACTGACTGGCTCATTGTTCTTTGTGCCCTCGGTTCGCTGAAAGACCACAACCTCACCAAAGCCTTTCAAGTGGGCTTCAGTAGATTGGTCGCTCTTTAATGTCCCAGGATGCTGTTTTACTGGCTGCATGGAAAATACGGAATCGCCTCACCTCACCATGACACTAACCCACCGCCTGCCTTGCGATCTTGCAAAATTCCCACACCGGATCAAAGACCATGGAAAGCCCTCAGTCATCCTTCCCATTGTGTCAGTTACTTGTCCGGTTTGCCAGAAGCACCTCCGCCGTGGCGGGGAAAATCGCTGCTGCCGCCACCTTACTGTACTTCGACGCGCCGTGGGGCGAATCTTTCGCCTTGGAGTGCATGAGGTTAAGACGAGTGCGTCATCAAAATTTCTTTTAGTTGAAAAAGCCTTTTTTTGGAAGTGTAATTGTTAACAAATCACATAAAAATGCTTGTGAATTTTTAAGGAATTTGCCATAAATAGGAGTTTGGAATGATCACGCAGTCCAAAGTTAACTTAGAGAAGGATTCTTAAATCTTCTTAACTTTTTTTAATGAAAAAGAGACTTTGCTTGTTGTAAATTAAACAAAAGTTTCCAGGCATTTTAACGTCTAAAGTTAGCAGTTGAGAGGGGGGAGGAAAGAGGAGCTTCACCTTTTAATTCCTCAAACCAAGAATGAAGCTCCTCGACTTACCTCTGAAGACACCCTTCAACTTACGAGGTTTTCAGGATGATTATGATGACGGTCGAGGAGTTCAAGGCAAAAGATTGTGTAGATAATGAAGCTTTAGGTCGGTTCCACATGTAGGCTTTGAGGTCCCGGTGCATTGGCTACGAGTTATCGGTTGTCGTCAGGTCCTTTCAATCCTCCTTTCATCAAAGGTAAAAGAAAAGACGAGAATCAATTAACGGCGTTCAGTCAGCATTGCATTAGGAGAGAGGGTGGAGAGAAGGCGAGCATGTCAATTGCCAAGGCGCCTCGCTTTCCCTCCATTCTAACCTACGGTCGGGTCAGGCCCATTTAATACCATGCCACCCGCCTGACAACTCCCCTGAGTTTTCAACTTGTTGGCGCGGGAGACAACGGTAGAGATGTTTAAAAAAATGTCAAGAACTAACTTTTTCAGAGGCAAGTAACAGAAAAGTACGCGTAAATCTTAAACTCAGTACGCTCTACTGACAACCCTTTTAAGTAGCATTTTGTCGACTTAAAAAACAGGTTGGGGGACCCCATATCCAAAATCAGCGAACATTCCCCTTCCGCTTTAAATGTCACACCTAGCGCACTTACCTTGGTCGTTCTCTTCCCTTGGCCGTTACAATGTAGTCGGTGCTCCGTAGGAAGGTGAGTTTCGCTATCTCCACGGTACCCCTGAAAGCGTCTGATGTTAGCTTTTTGAACTGACTTCAGGGCTCAGATGGATGTGCTTCAAAATGTCAATCACACGTGGCCTTCAAAGTAAAAGGGAAAATCTACCTCCCCTCCTTACTGCCTTGTTCCCATTCCGCTGCTATTTAGTCGTCTATCCGCATCCACTCGTCCTCAGCGGACCTCTTTGAATGGATCGGGTTAAGAGGTGGCGAAATGGGGTGTCCTCTACGATAGACGTCTACTAATTCTAAGGTCAGAGAGCTTCACAACCTTTGCAAGCGCTTATGATCTTTTGGATCGTTTGTGCCGCCAGCCTGATCTCAAATGCAACTGAAGGTGATTTGAGCTCGACAGACTGGGACAATGTCTGACCCTCCGCCTTAAAGAGGTCATTTTTACCACGGCATTGAGGCCAGCGTGAAGACGAGGAGGCACTCCTTCCCAAGTGGTTGGAACTCACCAATTGGTTTGTTCGATCAGCTAAGATCCCCCTCTCACAACTCAGATGCCTATAAGGAGGCTCTTTTGAGGCGGGTCGGGAGTCTGCAGCTCTCTGACCCCCGTGAACACTTTGTGATGGCCTACACTCTAAAAAAGGGATAATTGTGACTCAGGCTACGCATCCGTTTGGTCCAGACATTTTTAATTAATCATCGCACCTACGTTTGATCAGAAATGTTTCATTCTACTTTTCTTTTAGCAATCTGGAATGCGATGACCTGTTAAAGAGTGAAAACTCAGTGGTTCATTTAGCTCAAATGCGTAAGGTGCTCGATCACGAGCTGCCCATGGCATTTAGGTGGCCTAAAGTCAAGAGCAGTGTATCGTGGTCGCTATGCAAATGACGCAATAAAAATTTTCGGTGTTATTTAAGCACCGAAATTTTAAATAATTTAAACAGTAACAATGAGAATTTTTACCATAGGGTGTTCAGCAGGACCCTTTGTTTCCATAAATCGATTTTAGGATAAACGTTTATATCATTGTTCGGATACTAAACCAATCAGCCAAAGGTGTGGCGTCAGACCAATGAAATGGTGAATTTGGAGCAATTTTGATTGGCAAATCCATCGATCTGATATTATTTTTCTGCCTTTTTATGCTACAATGAATTGTACAAATATGCCATACTTGGCAATGCATTCCAGAGCACTTTTTCTGTGCTTCGTTCGACAACTATCATAAACTGGTGCTGCTTTATTAGGGATATCGGAAATTAACCGCAGTCACAACCAAGAACAATAAACTACGCGGCGGTAAATTTGCATGGTAACAAGAATATTTAGGCACATCTCAGTCAAGGAGGTATGTCCCGCGGATCTCACTAGAATCCACTTGACTTTCCATCTAACTCCTTTCCGCTTTGAGAAACCCTCCATCCTCTGTCCATCCATTCCGTATTCATCCAAGGAGCAGAGAGGGACGCATATGAGGTGATCAAGCGACTCAAATACGTGTCTCTCAAAGTGGTAACACACGTATGCCTTCATTGAGCCTCACAAAACCGATCCGGAAGGAGGTCAGTGTCCTTCCTTTCCTACCCATCAGCACCGCCTTTCTAAAGCACCAATGCACGCCATGTGGAGGCTGTACTAAAAGCCCTCGCTCGATTAACATCTTTCATCTTTCTGCTTTACTTTAACTCCATAATAAAGGCCACATCATCATTACCACTGGCACAGGAAGCATTTTTCCCTTTAAAACGGGGCATGTATTTTTAGCCTTCTGCAAGACTGTCAGCCTAGTTGTGGCGCCGGTGAAGCGGTAAATTGCACACACAATTTTATGACGAGCATCAAACTGTCAAAAGCGTAAGGACCGTTCGTTCGCCCGTTCACTTGTTCCCTCTCGTTCGTTTGACCTCGCTCTCGCTCACTTACTCACTCGCCCTCGCCCGCTCTCTCGCTCTCGCTCCCTCGCCTCCTCATTCCTGCGGTGTGTGCTCCTTCGGTGGCACAAGGCAGGCGGGAAATAAATCATCCGACTCGGTTTCTTTGAGAGACGATTGTTTTTTTCTTGGGAGGGGTGGAAGTAGATTGCCAAAATCGCTTTAAGGGGTTTCTTAATTTACTTACACAAAGTAGTATTTGAATAAAATCTAGTGAAAAATTGCCGTCAAGCAGGTGATTAATGGGAGATTTCGGGGGAGTCTAAGTGTGGATAGTCTCACTCTCCCTCTCTCTGGCGCATAAAAACACCCTCCATTTTCTGCAATTTGACGGTGGTGGTGATGGCACAACTTCCTGAACGTTCGGTTGCATGACACTTTGAAGTTCATTCACCGTGGATAATTTTGACAAATTTTAGTGCTAATTTTAGTGGCTTTTTTGTTTTAAAAATTTGGTGTGTTTCAGACCTCGAGGTTCTTTTTTAAAGGGTGTGAATTCCTCACGAGACAGGGACGAGGTGTAGAAAACGCTTAAAGCAGCCGTTACTGAGAGGACCAGGAGGTGGACTAGAAGAGGGTCATGGGACGATCTCCGCAAATGTACCGAATGGTGGATGGATGGCTACGGTAAGAATGGCTGGCTGGATTCTGCGTGGATGGATGAATCCTGGGTGGATGGCAACACCTATCAACGTCATCAATATCGGACACATCCATTCAATGAGAAGAATTTGATTTTTCTGCTTCGAGGACACCAGTCGGTAGGTTCACGCATTGGTTGTGTGTTGAACTTATAGTGATCACTGACTGGTTGGAAAGTCAACTGGTTAACGTCTTTACTTTTTAGGAGGGAAAACCTTTTCAAAGGTTTTGAGGCATTTTTACTGGACACGAGTTCTGATGATTGTTTGAACTCCTCCCCTCTCCACCCCTCCATCCGAAAAAGTCGTTCCTCCAACCTCACATTTTGATTAGGGCTTAGGTCGACACCTAACTCACCATTGCCTAGGTGAAACAGAAGACATACCTCTAGATCCATCTACATTAATGATCACGCCTCATAACTGTGACAGTTCTATCCTTCCTGACTCGTGCTATTTATAGCAATCGCTCACCCCGAATCAGCTTTTGTTGTTTGTGCACCTTTAGTGTTTCTTTGGGCTTTGATACCTTCCCAGGAAACACCGATGGGGGGAGGTGAAGCAATTTGTCATGCCTGCGTGGGAACCTACAGACCTATCGCAGTCAGGGTGGCATGACAAGTAGTGCAACACACTTCCTATCAAGCGAAAGACTTAGTGCGATTTTAAAAGACTCCCAACACTTCGACCTTCCACCCATTGCCTTCACCTCAGCCAAGCGCACAGCCCACCTCTTCGAGAGAAGCCATCACTCAGAAAAACGTGGCTTTCATTTGGCCCTTTAGAAAGGCTCGAAAGCCACTGGCAAGGACGGAGGGCCTCTTAGCCAAATGGAGGCACGAGCTGCTGGCAGAGAAAGAATCGCCAGCGCATTTAATTTGGCAGGCAGTAAAAAGGCGTCAAACTGTCACAAAATTTTGATGGATAAACACTCAACCCTCAGTTGAATGGGATTTGCAGGAAGGTCCGTAATCTGCCTCCCTCTCTCTCTGGAAATGACACCCTCCCCCCGCTAATGCCAAATTGTCCAGACAACTACTTACAGAATTAAGTAGTTTGTGCCCACCTATCATGACGTAAGGTGCGCGAAAAGGCCTCGCATCTAACATTCCCATAACAATTCATCCAAAGCGTATCATCACCACCCATTTCAATTCATCTCCTTTTATTCCTAACTCTGCCAACATATCACAGAATGCTAGATGAGTATCTGTACATAGCCACATAACTAAACCTGAATATCATTGGTCACAGATTCCCCCACTCCAGGTGTCTCCACACCAGGTGTTTAAGCAGCTCTTCCACAGGGATCGAGGCTAGCATCGCCTCATTTGCATTTACCAGCCTCATTCATGAGTCGCAAATTCGCATGCATGTATGACGTGGAATGAAACACCATCGCGGAACGATACCATCAAAAATGTAGCAATGGTTTAACCCGCCACCTATTTCTTGGCACTTGAGCGTGAGACAAATGTGAGGTGTGGTGTTCTCGCACAGCGTTTCTTAATAATAATAATCACATTTTCCACCCAATGCAATTTGATGGCAGATTTTTTATTAAC